TCCTATCCTATCCTATCCTATCCTATCCTATCCTATCCTATCCTATCCTATCCTATCCTAATCTCACCTCTAAACAGTGGTATCAGTCTGGAAGCTGCAATCTATTCATATTCAGGGCTACAATGAATGTTCTTTATAACATAAGGACCATAAATGAAATAAAATGAGATTGCAGCTCAGATCTACAACGAAAAAGGGCTCCAGCTTGTGTAAAACAGTAGGCTAAGATGCTCTTTTAATGCAATTACTTTTAAGTGTATGTCTTAAAATACAAAAGAATATGTAGGCTTTATGCTTACTTACAAGTATCTCTTGCTTGAATCTTGCAAGCATAAACTATGAATGTGCAAAAAATCATGGCCCAGGAATATTCTTTACCAGGAGGTATATGAGAGTGCAGAATCTCAGCTCATGAGGCTTATAGAATCATAGGATTGGAAAGGGACCCTTGAAATTTCAAATCTAATACCTTGCTCAGGGCAGGAATCCTCATACTATCCCAGGTAAATGGCTGTCGAACCTTTGCTTGAAAGTCTCCAGTGATGGAGCATCCATTACCCCAGAAAGCAGACTGTTCCACTGCTTAATTGCTCTCACAGTCAAGAAATTCCTCTTCATTTCGAGTTTGGATCTCCCTCTGTAAAGCTTCCACCCATTGGTTCTTGTTCTATCCTCAGTGCTATGAAGAATAAATAAATCCACACCCTTCAAGTATTGGAAGACCATTATCCTATCTCCCTTTAGCCTTCTTTTCTTTAGATGAAATATACCCAATTCCTTTAACTGTTCTTCATAGGATCTAGCCTTTAAGCCCTTCACTCTTCTCTGAATTATTTCAAGTTACTCATCCTTCCTGTATTGTGGTGACCGGAACTGGATACAAAATACCAAGTGTGGTCTGACCTGTGCAGCATAGAGTGGAATTATGACTTCCTGTGATCTTTACCTCTATTGATGCAGCCCAAGATTGTTTTGGGTCCTTTGGCAGCTGCAGTTCATTGCTAGTCCATGCTTAATCTATGGTGTACCACGATACCCAGAGCCTTCTCATAAGTACTACTGCTGAGCCAAGTACCTCCTATCTTGTAAAATATTTTTCCTACCTAAGTGCAGACCCTTACATTTCTCACCACTGAACTTAAAGTGTGGATAGGACCCAATATTCAAGTCTATCAAGATTCATTTGAACCCTGAGCCTATCTTGTGAGGAGTCAGCAATTCCCCCGCCTTTGTATCATTTGAAATTTGATAAGCTTCTATCTCCTCATCTAAGTCTAGCTGATGAGTCTGTAGTTTCCTGGGTCCCCTCCACCCCCTTTTAAAACGATTAGAACGTGTGCCAGTGTTTCTGCAACTTCCCCTGTACTCCGGGGGTTTGAAGATTATAGTCGTGGTTCTGAGATAACATCTGCCTATTTAGCAGTCTGGGATGTAATCCATCTGGTCCCAGAGACTTAATTCACCCAAAGCAGCGAGATATTCTTTCCTTACCTATTTTGATCTGCATTTCTCTTCATGGCTTCTGACTGATTGGGCCACTTTTTCCTTTTGTGGAAGGACAGATGCAAACTAGAAGTTAAGCAGTTTAGCCTTCTCCACGTTGCAAATCACCATCTCACCATGTCCAACTAGCAGACCAACCCCTTCCTTGACTTTCCTCATATTCAACTCATATCCAAAGAATGCTTTTTTGTTATCGTTGGTGTTCATTGCAAGCCTTTGTCTTCCTTATAGATTCAGGCTATTTCCTGATATTCTGCTTTTGCTATATGCTTTTTTCATTTTTTTTTCATTTGTCCTTTTGTTTCTCAGTTTATCAGAGACCTTTTTATGAAACCATGCCAGTTTCATCAAGTGACTCCCATTCCCCCCTCCCCATCATTCCTATTGTTTATGTTTGGGCCTTAATTATCACGTTTTTCAGAATTTCCCAACCCTCTTGAATTGTTTTTCCCTTCAGGATTTCATCCATGGGATCCTTCCTACTTTTTCCCTTAGCTTATTGAAGTCATCCCTCTCAAATCTGGACCATGAATCTGACTACCTTCAGGTCTCCCTGCCTACAATATGGTGAATTCTAGAGTCACATGGCCACTCTCTCAAGGTCCCTACAACTTTCACTTCCTCAACTACTTCTTCCCTGTTAGGGAACATTAGGTTCAGTACAGGTGATCTCCTAGTTCTCTCCTCCATTTTTGGAGTTGAAGTTGTCTGTAAAGCATCTCAAGAATCTGTTGGCTTTCCCACTTGCTGTAGCCTTTCTCGGTTCATGTTTGGGTAGTTGAAATCGCCTATTATCACAGTGATGTGTTTCTTGGATACCTTGCATTTGTGAAGATTTTATCCACATCTTCTGCTTGATTGGGCAGCCTGTAACAACACCCACAGTAGTTTCATTTTCTTTTTTTCCTCCTTAATTTTCACCTAGACACATTTGACAGGATTTCACCTGAATGAAAATATATATGCGGAGAGAGAGAGCCCCCTCCTCTTTTGTTGAGTCTGGTTTTTTTGAACAAATTATATCTTTCCAGTACCATATTCCAATTATGAGTTCCATCCCATCAGGTTTCAGTAATACAGGTTTTAGTAATACCAACAATGTCTTATTTGCCCCTCCATACTAAGACTTCAAGTTCTCCTTGCTTGTTTCCCATACTTTGTGCATTAGTGTACAGGCATCTGATCCCTATAGTACTACCTTTCTTAGGTTTGTCTGTTGCATCTCCTGATGTAGTCCTGAACATCCCTTCCTTCTTACTACTTCCTTTGGTAACAATGCTGACTGTAAAGCAAAAATTGCCATTTTATATTTCCTAGAATGCCACTAATGGGAGAAACCATTTTTGTGATGTCTAGCATTTTACCTCTCAGGTGAGGCTTTATGGAATGAATTTTCCCCTAGAAAACTCTGGCCAATAATTTCCCAAAAATCTTCTGCAAATTGTGATGTTAAATCCTTAGACATTGAAGAATAAAACTATTTTTTTTCCTTTGAAAGTTCAGCTCAATGATACAACTTTGGGTTCCTTTGAGGGAGGCTGAAAATAAAATAAATTAGAATAAAGAATACAGCACCAAGAACTTGCACCTATGATGTAAGCAGTCTCTGTTCCTTGTGTCCTCTAGGGATTAGTTAATTGACTTCTGAGCTAAATTTGGCCATTTAAGTGATGACTCTTGGTGAAAGAGGGTTTTGAAGGATAACTGAACAGCTGTTGAAACACGACTTGCTGGCAATCCATTTGGAGGAGCAGGAATTGGAGACATAATCCATCTGCTTTCCCTTCTATTCCTTGTGGCAAAATTAATAACTGAGTAAGAACCTTGTGAAAAGCCAGCAACAACAGCAAGTTTAAATGCAAACAAAGTGAATTTTTGTTTCTGCATTTTTCACTAATTGCATTTCTCATTTAGAATTTACAGAATGTCAATGATAAGGTTACAACTACTTGTAAATACCAATATAGATGTAAAAAGCAGTTTTTTTCCCCAACTGAAATTTGTTTATTAGAACTGAAAAACTCTGTAGCTTGAAATTTGTATGATATTTATCTTGAACTGACTTCTTAAAAAAACAGATGCTGCTTTTTCAAAGAAAACAATGAAACTTAAGGTTTTTTTTAAAAAGCAGATTGAATGGGCTGAAACATACATTGTAAGTCTTACCCAAAGGGCTAATGTCACTAAGATTAAAAAGCTTTCTCTAGTGTGGGAGAGAAATTGAGAAAAGAAAGTTTGCTTATGGGTTATATTCCTTTAAAAATTGCCAAAATCTATTTTTAAAACTTATGTAAACAAACTCACTTCCAACCCCAATATTAGTTAGCCAAAGGAAGTCGTCTGCATTTTTACAACAATATTATAAAAAAGTATTTTCCAACTTGGCTCTGTCCAGATGTGGTTGACTTCAATTCCCATCATTTCCACCCAGCATGTACAAATGTAATACTAGTTGAGAATGATGGCAGTTGAAATGCAGTATGGATGGATGGCACGAAGTTTGGGAAAGTTTAAAATATAATAGAAAGAAAAACGCTTGGAAGGCCATACTTTTAACTCCAATGAATCATCATAACATCTTGGTGAACCAATTCTAAATACCCTACACATGCACACTAATCATTTTTCTTTCTGCATCCAATCTTCCAACTGCTGGCTGCAATCAATGATGTATTCAAGTTCATTCATCCTCTGAGTGAAAACTGTTGGGCAATTCTGGGCAGCACGGGGGAGGAATATCATTTGCAGCAGATTCATAGGTAACTTCCACTGACTTCAAAGGAACAAGATGATTTTTATTCCTAAAAATCAACAAAAATGTATCTTTTCATTGTAACAGAAAGAAAATACTGTTTTCTCAGGTATCCCTTACTACTTATTTTTGTGTATATTCAGCTTTGATTAGATGAAAATTATTTCACAAAGGTAACATTTGGGCTATAAAATCATCAATGTTTAGATTAATTCATGGAATTTTGCACTGGTCCCAAACCTAACAAAAGTCAGTGGCAATTGAAATGGAAATCTTGTAATTATTTACCATGGAGAAAGCCTGATAAATAGAACACAGCATGAATAAACTTGAAGTAAATACGTACTGGACTGCCATATGAGACAATAATCCTATGTATACTTACTTGAGAGCAAATCATATTGAAAACAGTGGAACTTATGTGTGAAATTGGATTTTATATCTCACAGAAACAACAATGAGGACACATTTGTTCTATTAATTTAAATGGGATTGACTTAGAAGTATACTTAGCTGGACTGAGGCTGGTTTTATAGTTTTGCCAGCAGCTGACTAGAAAGTAGCTGCTTTTAACTACATATTATAAACTAGATAGCAAAACGTTTGCTCAAATGTTTTCTATAATAGGAAAGATAAATTTTTATACAAGTTGAAAGAGAAAGACACTGTGATTGCTAATATTTATTCTATACATAGTTGTACAGGAATATCCCCCACTTAACTCAAAGGAACTTTCTTCTGAATAGATTTGTATGGGATTGCATTGAAGACAAATTTAACAAGAAGTCAGCTGCAAATCTAATATTTGGAGTACCTAAACAGAAGGAAGTCAGCATAGCTGAAAAAAAATGGCAGTCGTGCATCTTATCATATTGTATTTTCAAATGTGTAATCTGAATGAATGCAAGATTTCTGGCCAGAACAGGGAGAATTTTCCTAATGGACTTGTATAATGACTTTTGGTCTAATTTAGAGTAACAGAGCATTGCATATATAAATAAAAAGATCAGGTGCAGTGCACTGAAAACTGCCATGCATTCTCTTCAAAATCTTTTTTATGACAACCATGTTAATAAAGTAAGGGAAAGCTAAGAAAACATTTGCTTAACAGAAAGAAATGCCATTAATGCACACACCATATATTCAGTTTTCAAACAATTTAATAAATAATGAGGATTCATTTATTTCCTTGTATAAAGTATAAATATATCATAGAGTCCTCATAACTTAAAATAATTTACAGGCTGAGGTAGGGGGCTGGGAGAAAGTGGGTACTGGAGTAATGGTCAATCAGAGGTTCTCAGCTTTTCTACTGATTACGCAGACACAGGCAGTGTCAATCCGAATGAAGCGCCAGGATGCCTGCTTGCCTTCCATGGTTAATGCCTTAACAAATGTGTGTGTTGTGGTGCAATAAGAATTCCAATGCCTGGCATCAATGCCTCTGCACCCACTTGATACTGGTTTTGGATCTCTGCACTTGGTCTCAAAAAAGTACTGCTTATAGGCATTGTTATTAAGGTTTACATCCACCATCACAGTCACCTGTTTGCCTTTGATGTCCGTTGCTGTGGTTTTGTTGGCAACCCAGACGCTGACACTATCACACACAGAATACTCCCCTCGGTTATGCACAGGATGAGTTGCACGTTTGGCCCGGATATTCCTATTAAGAGAGTCTGCGCTGTCCAGGAACTCCACACTTTGGCCATCTCCTGACAAAGGTGGGGGCTGAGTGCTGAACAGAACACGAGGTGACTGGAACCGCCTCTTCTGAAAAAGCTTTGGATCCACAATGATGTTTGCTGCTGACCCAGTTTCTTGATCCTCTGCCTTCCTAGGAGCAGGATGGTTCTGATCTCTGTGTTGAGATGTTTTCAGAACATGGTGAGTTTTAGTCCAGCTGGTTTCAGAAAGGTCAGATGTTGCAGGGGAGCCCAGTGGGGCATTATCTTCAGATTTTGGTGCTGCCCATATGCCAATCAGAAATGCTATAATCAGAGTGTAGCACAGCATGGACATTACGCTATGCACCTAGGAGAGATCAAACCAAGATTATTACTGTGAGCAATGACAACATGCAAAAACATGCATTCCAAGATGAGTGGAGATGTGCTGATATAGCAACACCAGTGAAAATGTACAGTTAAGAAATTTCATCTTCTTACGAGGCCCAGCCATGTGGATACCAGATGTTGCTTTTCCCCTTCCCATTGCAGAAAGGATTATTGAAATAGCAAGTCTGCTTAATAAAGTGAGGACGCCAGGAAATAATACTTGGGTTACTGTTAATTCCTGAAGTACTAGAAAATAACTTATATTGAGCAGCGTTTTGGGTTTATGAATAGGGAGAACAGATCCCGGCAAGAATCTCTGTGGGCTAAAGTGGAAATTCTACAGTAAGAATCATGTAAAAAGGAAAAGTAGCTCAAATATACTTTTTCTTGCATCTAGATTTCCATGAGCCATATGTTCCCCAAAAGAGGAAGAAACAAGGCTATTGCCAGACTTGACACAGGTACCTGAATGGGCTGTGGAAGAATAATTTCTTCTAATCTGCACTTACTTCAATTTCTTAAAAGTTTCTCAGATAATAAGTAGTAAAATGCTACTTTTGCTACTGAAATAAAAGCTATATGCAAGTCCTGACCTGATGTTATTAGTTGTAGAATTGTCAGTTTCCCCAGAGAAGTATCAGTACAGTAGACCTTGAGAGAGAATCCAACACCCAGGTAAATCTGCTTAGATTCATTGACTTTAAGGTTTTTTTTTTTTTTAAATCTGTGCTCAGTCGTTACCGACTCTGCAGTGACTGCTTGGACGAGTCCTTTGCAGTTTTCAAGGCAAAGTGTTGGATTGTGGCCATGGTTTAAACTGAGTAAAAGTTCTGAAAACCGATTTCTCTTTCTCTTGCACTGAGTAGACAAAAGCCTAAAGCCTCTTAGATGGGAATGATTCAGACTTTGTTGTTATCTTTAGTTCCGCCATCCATTCTGAAAACTTCAAGACAAAGGCCAGTCACTATTGTGCGGGCTCTCTGACAAACCATAAATCCTCTTGTTCAGTGAAGTTATACTTTACTACAGCTAATAATTTGTGTCAAATTCAAAGCCCTTTTTTTCCAGAATTGTTTGGATAATTTATACTTTGAGGTATACCCAGAGATAATTTATACTCTTAATAGATAGCAGATTTAATAGATAACAGATCCTAGGATACTCATCAATTAGTCAGAGTGGTTGCTAAGGTTGCAGATTCTATGCAAAGTATTTGCTAAAATCACAAGAAAGGAAAATGCTAAGAGGCAATCTACCCAACTTTTCAGGTACAATATCTCAGTTTACAAGAATAGACAGCCAATAGATGGCAGCAGAAGGTTTGAGTTTTATCTTGTTATTGCCATCTAATGTCCATTTTGATTTATGCAACCCACATGTATCCCTACATCTTCACCATTCTGACTCCACTACAAAAGCTGGAGAGAAACAGAGCTTCCAGCTTGTGCTAGACGAGGGACATTAGTTCCAAACCAAATCATGTTACAGCTTAGAGAGGCACCAGATGCTTTAATTTCTCAGATTTACTTGGAGCACTGGGGCCATGGCAGCAATTCAGAACATGTCAAATGAGTTTCCTGATGTCAACAGACATGTTAATGAAAAAAGTTTGTGCAACAAAATTGAAAGACAATATAGGCACATCTTGAAATAAGTCTATATCAGTATTGCTTGCATGTAAGTCCTTTGTAGATTCATTGCTCTATACTAAATAGGAAAGAGAAGTTAGGTATGATAATAAAACGTTATTTGGGTTTCTAACAGTGTGGAGGAGGAGATGTTACTTTAACATATAGCAACATTAAAATAAGGATTTTTGAGATTTTTGACATAAAAATCTTAATTGGATCTTATTGTTCAGAATTAGATTAGCAAGAAATTTAAAAGAAAGAATTAAAAGGAGATAATGGAGAATATTGTTATTTACTTTTACATATTCAAGCAGAGCTAGGTTCTGCGAAACGATGTAGAGGCTTTAAGAAAGGAAACTGGATAATTTGTCTATTCAGAGTCTGGTTGTACACAACTATACGCTCAAGCAGAAGTGCAAGCTTAGTCAAGTAAGATTTTCACAATAGTTGAAACATTAATAATGCCACTGCTGTGTTAATAGGGAGAAAATATAGTGTGACAGGTGCAAATGTCAACTGGTTCAGCAACCATTAAAATAATAATTAGCAAGTTGTCTCTGCATATGAACGATCCTGATTGTCCCAAGATATTTTGTTATCTGACACAGAATGGTGGTCTGCATCCACTTGGCAGCCTGTCCGCACTTATGTCTGTAGGGGTGCTTCAGCTTCCCCCACCCACCTATCTCCCCCCCAACTATGCTCTTTTGGCCCCCTGTATTCCATGACCCCTGCCACCCGAGCATGCCTTACCTGGCCCTTCATGAGGCAACTGCTGGCCGCACAAGGCTTTCTTCCCAAGGTCGTGCACATGTGGTTCCCTCATAAGACCTGGGGAAGATGGCCTCACGTGGCCAGCAGCTGCCTCATGAAGGACCAGGGCAGGCATGCCTCGTCAGCAGTAGGAGCAAGAAGATGGCAAAGGTCAGCTGGGGTGGCTCAGCACAGAGCTGCAGGGGCCTTGGAGTGCAGGGTGGCGAGGGTGACTGTGGCTGGGTCTGGACTGGGGTGGCTGTGGCTTCGCACTGCTGTGGCTTCCTGGGTTGCTGCGGCTTTGTGCCACGCTGCTGGGGCTTCTCAGGGTGTTGCAGCTTTGAGCTGTTCTGGTGGGCTGGGCTGGAGTGGCTGAAGCTTCCAGGGGCAACTGTGGCTTTGCATGCCAAGCAGCCCCAAAGCTATGTGGTTCTGGGGCTGCTTGCTGCCTCACAAGGCAGGGTGCAGGGTGGCCAAAAGGGCAGAGATGGGAGGGAGATAGGCGGGTGGGGGGAGTTGAAGAGGAGGCAGTCCCTTACTGAACCGAGGCTTGGGAGAGAGCAAGTCTGGAATGGCTTGGATTGGGGTGGGTCCTCAGCTAATGACTGGAGAAATTCAGTTAATGACAGCAACCGCTGTGCATGACCTTGGGAAGAAAGCCTTTATGAACACATTGCTTAGTGAAAGAAATTCAGGTCCCAACTACCATTCTGAGTTGAGGACTACCTGTAGTTTGGTAGCAATGCATTCATCCATGCTCTCTTTTCTAAAAATTCAAGGGCACACATATAATTCACTGAATCAGCCTACCACACCCTTTTAACATTCTTAGATTTGCTATCAATCAATTTTTAAAAATAATTGCTATTAAAGGAATATTTAACAAGTAAAAACTATAAGAGAAAATACAGATTATAAAAAGAATAGTAAACAGTGAAAAAAGAAAAGAGGAAAGGAAAGGAAAGGAAAGGAAAGGAAAGGAAAGGAAAGGAAAGGAAAGGAAAGGAAAGGAAAGGAAAGGA